GTGCCGTGTGCGGGGGCGCTGCCGGGGGCTGAGCGCTCGTGTCCCGCAGCGCGGGCCTGGGGGAGCCGTGGACGCGGTGCCCGGGCAGGGTTTGCCCCGTGCGGCCGGGACCGGCCCCGTGTCGCCCGCGCCCCGGGCCGCGCTGGGGTTGGAAACCAGCCCAGGGCGCTCCGGTGTCTGCCCCGGCAACCCCGCAGAGCGTCCCCCGGGCCGGGCCGGCCGCGGTGTAACATCGCACCTGCGATCAGCCCGGAGCAGTGTGTGTAGACGGGGCCAGGCCTGGAGCAGGCTCCGTTCGGGGGGAGGGAGCCCGCCGTGACCCCGGCTTCGAGACCCGGGCAGCCCCTCGGGGATGCTGGAGAGAGGCTCGGTAGGGGCCTTGGCGGGGCAGAGAGGGGCCCGGCTCCAGGCTTGTGTAGAGAGGCGTGTGGGGGGATCCCTTTAGCCGGGTGGGGACACTGCACCCGCAGTGGCAGCTGGCGCTGGAGCGGCTCGTGCCAACCTGCAGCCCTGGCTCCACAGAGGAGTGTGTGTTGGGGGGGAGGGACTGAGCCCTCTGTGCGCTTCAGGGGACTTGGCCTGGCCCTGCCCGTAGTTGCATGAGGCGCCTGCACCGGAGACTGCGTGGACGCCCGGCCCCTGTCCTGGAGCGCTGCTGCGGGGCATCGTGCAGCTCGGAGGCCCTCGGGCATGGGAGCGCGGCAGGATCTGTCTGAGGCTGCTGCCAACCAGCCCCCAACGTAGGGGCTCCCAGGCTCTCCTGCAGGGCTGTGCCCCATCTGCGGTGCCGGTGCCAGTGCAGTGCGGGGGGAGGGGACTGGTGGGGTGGCTGTGGAGTGTAATGCCAGGTCCTCTCCCTGCAGGCTCGGGAATACTGCCCAGGGGTGAAGAACCAGCCCTACGTGTGTGAGACGGGCCACTGCTGCGGAGAGACCGGATGCTGCACCTACTACTACGAGCTCTGGTGTGAGTGGCACTAGGCGGCCAGGGGTTGGGGCCAGCACCTGCGTCTCCGGGATCCTTACTGCGATGGGAGGAGCTGTCAGCCTCTCCTGGCAGGGAGCAGGGCTCGGTGCTGGCTGTGGGGGGAGTTCCCGGCTGCTCCAGGCCCGGCCTGGTCCAGCAGGGGCACTGACTGGGGGGAGTTCCCAGCTGCTCCAGCCCTGGCCTGGTCCAGCAGGGGCACTGACTGGGGGGAGTTCCCGGCTGCTCCAGGCCCTGGCCTGGTCCAGCAGGGGCACTGACTGGGGGGAGTTCCCGGCTGCTCCAGCCCTGGCCTGGTCCAGGTGGGGGGTACTGGGGGGAGTTCCCGGCTGCTCCAGGCCCGGCTGGTCCAGGTGGGGGGTACTGGGGGGAGTTCCCGGCTGCTCCAGGCCCGGCCTGGTCCAGGTGGGGGGTACTGGGGGGAGTTCCCGGCTGCTCCGGCCCTGGCCTGGTCCAGCAGGG